TTTCCTTATTTTTGCCAATATAAGTGAAAATAGAATTTCATAACCTTGACAGCATGTTTCCCACTATAAGTTGAGCTCTTGCTCGTGTGTTAAGCTATCTGTATTTCTTTTACTGTGAACTGTATTCGTGTCCTTCATTAATTTTTATTAGGCTATTGGTCTTTTGCTTACTGATTTTATGATTCCTTTCCTACAAAGGATACTTTTTTTCACAGTGTAGATTTCACTAAACATCCCCGTTGCAGTTGCGACCATTAACTGCTACGGAAGCACTCTTTCCCTTTGACTTCAGTAACAACACCTCTCCAGTTCTCTAATTCCTCTTTTTATAGCTCATCCTCCTCTACCTGGCCTTTTTTTTTTTTTTAAGCTAGTGTCTCAAAATCAAAACAATATGAAAATGTATACCACGTAAATTCTCCCTCTTCCCTGGCCCCTCCATTTCTGTAAACATTTTTATTAGTTTCTAGAGCATTCTTCAAAAAAATTTTTTAGGCAAATCAAGCAAATACAAATACATATATTTAGTTTTTCTTTCTTATGTAAGAGGTAGCACAGTTACATTACTTTCTGCATAGCTTTGTTATTATTATTATAATTAATGTCTTGATTGGTCTTTTCATGTGAGTACCTTGAATCTTCATTATTCTTGTACTGTATATGCTAGTGTTTTCTAAAGGCACATGCTAATGACTTTCAGATTTATATATCTCAAGTCCAAATACCTCTTTTGAGTTTGAGACTCATAGATCCAACAATCTAAATTTGATTCAGGTCACTTCTTCAGTGAAGATTTCTATTGGTTCCGTTAGCTATATATGCTCCAAAATCACCTTATTTTTTTTATTGCAATTGTAATGATGCATTCATGTCTGTGATTATTTGATTAAATGTATTTCTCCCAGTAAGTTGTAAATTCTTTGATGGTAAGAACCACATCGGTTTGGTTGACCATTCTACCCCTTAGCATGGTCCCTGGCCCATAAAGTTTGTTCAATAAATGTTGAGTGAATGCCTAAATGAATAAAAGAGTTAAGTTATAGCAAAACACCCTTTCACCTTGTATTATTCTATTAATCATTTTTAGAGCATATTAATCAGATTTGTAGATGATTTGAAGCTAGGAAATTTGGGGAGTGTCTTATGAGAAAATCATAATAAATAATGAAGACACTAAATGATTGAGACTTTTAATCCCCAGCACCATATGAAAGGTCTTTCACACAATAGTTTCTTAATAATGTGAAATAAAGTATAATTTTATTATTATTTTTGTTTCTTCTTATTAATTCACTCTTAATGTCCCATGTATTTCATATATTAAAACAACAATACTACACAGAAATAACAGGAACCACCGAACCCTTTATTAAGTTATAGGTTAGGAACTCTGATGTGGGATAACCTGAAGCTGAAATAATGTTTAGCTCTTGAAGCTATTTAGGTATAAACATATGTCTTGAATGATCAAAGTTCTTTTGAGTGAGCAGAGCATGCTGGGAAGTTCCTTTCTACTAAAGAACACATACCTCTTATCACTGGGTGAAGAGCATCATGCACTAGATGCTTTTTCAGTTGAGTAGCAGGCTACTCAATCTTATTTTTAGACAGTACATTGAGTTGGCTCCATCTTTAAAGAAGGCTAGCACTTTACTGAATAGTATCTGGGACCTATCCTCAAATAGAAAAGCCTTTTTCTATTCTCTGTTCTTCTTTTCCAGCAATCCGTAAAGCTCCACCGTTTAGTTGAATCACATAATAGCATTACAGTCTCTGTATTTGGGAGAAAAGGTAAGTCACATTATTTTAGATGTCCATAAGAAGTCAGAAAAGGACTTGATTTGTATTTCTGGTTGTTCCTACTACTCTCATCTTCATACGCATTTTTTTTCTGCGCATTTACTTAAAGGGATGAGAAACTTGAGTTTTTTTCATGACCTAGTTTTATTATTTCTTTAGGAGTTTAAAATATATGTCATCTTCATATATTACATGGAATATTTCTGTAAAGAGAGATACTCTTCTTGAACTATTTCATTACCCTGAGAGCCAGTTTGTTTAAGAAAGGCAGGATAAATATATGACTATTTCTCTTTATTTATCAGCTTTCAAAATACTAGGTTGATCTTCTAACATTTTCCAAAGTCTTTAAAAAAATTTTAAGTGTCATTATGGATGAATAATGTCAATATGGTTAATATATTATCATCCATTGAAGTTTTTATTCTTATTATCATTGAAATTGCCCATCTTTGGTCATTTAGAGTCTTTTCAGGTTGACTCCTGAATTCATTTGACATGATCCTAGTAGTCTGAAACTTTTATTGCTTTCTGATATGACAAGATTTAAATTTATCTTGGATAATTCCTGCTCCAAACCTGGACACATCCATTTTCCCAAAGACCTCTTAGGTATGGTACTTAGAAACCTCAATCAAAGTATTAGGAGTGCTCATTTCTATGGTGTTAGTCATTGTTTCCAGGCCTTTTCAGAAAACATACCTTGGAAATAGTATTTTAAAGATAACATAAATTAAGAGTTTATACTGACATTTCCAGTTTAAGTTTGGAACTATAGGGTTTTTTTTTTCACTTAACTTTGTTGATTATACTTCTGTTTCTCCTTTCTCTACACCCAAAGACCTGATTTTCAATGACAGCAACAAATTACTCATCTGCTTTATCCCATTATACACAATAATCTCTGAGTAACAAACCAACACACCTGCAACAATGTGATTCCTTAAAACAATTTAAGACTTTTTTAGAGTTCCTTCTTTCTCCTTTTTGTGAAACAACATTAGGAAGGTACAAATTACATTTAAAAAATGTATGTTTTAGACTGACTCAAAATAACTTTTCTCTGTATGGTTATTCCAATGACTTGATAGGTTCACCTCGTTCATTTTGCTTTAGATTTTTAGTGTCAGCTTTTCTAATTTATTTTTATATTAGCTTGAATAGATATTATATAAAATATCTACATGATTTGAAAGTTAAATCCATAAAAGACATTCAGAAATCTACTTCCTATTTCTCCTCTCTGTACCTATGTACTCATGCTGTCAATAGTAATCATTTTTGTCTTTTAATTTTTTTTGCTTTCAAAAATACAATGATCTGTAACATTCATAGTGATAATATAGAGAATAAGATATATATTTATACAGCTGCTTTTTAAATACCAGGGGTACGTTACATACATTTAACTTACATTTCCTGGAGTGTATTCTTTATATGCTTAATGACGTCTCCCAGGGGCCCTTTCAGAGCAGTATATATAGTCTTCATTGATTATTTCAGCTGCATAATACTCTCTTGTGTGGAGGAACCACAATTTTTTTCAATCAACTCTCTATTGAAGGATTTTTTTCCAGCCTTTTACTGTTATAAATTATGCTGTAATAAAAAACCTTGTGCATATGTCTTTTCATATTTTTGCCCAGTCTATCTTTGGTAGAGATTTTGAGAAGTAAAATTGCCGAGTTAAATAATAAATGTATATGCAATTTTGATAGATGTTGCCAAATTTTTTTCTGTAGACATTGTACCAGTTTTCATTTGGACCAGAAAAGTGTGAAAGTGGCTGTTTCCTCACAGTATTGCCAACAGAATATGCTGACAAACTTACAGATTTTTCTAATTAGATAGATGAGTGATGCTATCTCATGTATATTTCACTCTTTTTTTTCCTTCTGCTTTTTTAAAGGAAATAATTCACAACTTACAGAAAAGTCACAAGAATAAATCAAATAACTTTTTTCTTGAACCATTTGAGAATAAGTTGCTGACATGTGGCTCAATGACCCCCACATGCTTTAGTGTATATTTCTTAAAGACAAGGGCATTCTTCTAAATAAACAACAGTGAAAACATTAATATCAGGAAGTTAATATTGATATTAGTACCAACAAAAGCTCACATTCATTCCAATTTTTCTGATTGTCTCAGTGATGTTCTTAATAAGAAAGGATCCAAGATTATACAATACTGTTGTTTGCCATGTCTCCTTAATCTTCTTTAATCTTTCCTCGACTTTCATGACCTTGACTCTTTCAACTCTTAATTATTTTGTAGAATGTCCCTCAGTTTGGATTTGTCTGATATTCCCTTATAGTTAAATTTGGTTTATGCGTTTTGGGCTGGAATATTACAAAAGTGATGTCATGTTCTCACTGTTTCCTCTCAGGTATCACATAATTTAAATTTGTCCTAGTACTGGTGATAATAACTTGTATTACTTAGTTAAATGGTGTCTGCCAGGTTTCTCTATTGTAAATTTACTTTTCTTTCTTTCTAATTAATTTTTATTTTGCTGAGAGATACCTTGAGACTATATAAATAAACCATGCTCATCAAATTTTCATCCACTAGTTTTTAGTATCTATTGATGTTTCTTAGCTAGATTAGTTATTGCTTTGATAATTGCCAAATGGTGATTTTCTAATTTTCTTTTCTTCTACACTAATTAATGGCCGATTTACTGTAAGGAAAAGCTATCTTTTCTCCTCATTTACTTATTCATTTACTCATGCCATTATGGACTAATGAATGCCTATTTTATTTGATGGGTTATCATTCATTATTGTCATTATTAACTTTGATGTTCAACTTGTTAAAGACTGAGGCAGTGAGAGTCCTTTAGGCTGGCTTTGATATCTTTCTGATCTGTCCCCATCACTCTTTGAGCACTGCCCTATTTAGTGGCATAGCAGGATGCTTTAGCTTATACTGTACTTTTCTTGGCCCAGTGTTGTAATCAGCCTTTTTTTTTTTTTTTAAGAGCCCTGGTTTTTTTTTTTGGAGGGAAATGAAATTTAGAAACCAAAATTTGGGCACTGGATGTGCACAGTATTATTGGGTTTTCACTGTTCCAAGGCCCTCTCAGGAACCGAATTAGAGAATATGCATATTAAAAAAGACAAGCAAATATGTTATATTTGCGTATATTCTTGTATACATACACAGTCACATTTATATTAATTCCCTGTCTATTGAAAACAACTAGTTTACATTGTTGTCTCCAATTCTAGTCCAACACCACAGAGTTCATTTTGGTTTTATTTCTGCTTGTATATGTAACTTCCCCTCTTCAGTGAGGGACCTGGTCTTCATTAGCCTTATTATATCCACTTACTGTGTCAACCTACCAGGATGTAACCCATCACCCATCACTGCTGCTGCTTTCCCATGCAGACACCTTTCATCCTGTTTGGACTCCAGCATCTCACACCAGGCCACTGACACCGTGGGGGCCCTTGTCTCCCTCCTCAGACTCTGACACTCCATACTAGGCCATGTAAACACCCATCCATTGTTCTTAGTCTCCAACACGTGGAGGGGGCTGCCACTCTCCCCTCCCCACTTAGCCCCCTGCATAGATTTCTATTTGGCTTAACCCCTTATCGCTTTGGGGCTTTGGGACTGGATAAGGATGGTAAGAAGTAAAGAAAGGCCAGAAAGAAGGAAGGCAGGCAGGAAGGACAGATTTTTTCAATTTTCTTACTATGAGTAAGAATGAACATCTCTTCAAATGTTTAGCAACATGCCATTTGTAGTGTGTGTGTGTGTGTGTGCGCACGCGCGCGTGTGAACTGTATGTTGACATTCCAGCAATTTTGCTGTACTGTCATTTGCTATATGCCTTTTTTCAGAACTCTTTATTTGTTAGGAATATTAATCTTTTGTTTATAATGTAGGTTTCAAATGTGTTTTCTGAATCTGTTATTAGTTTTATCCTTTGGTTTTTTTTTTTGCCACCCAAAGATTTTTATTTTATGTAGTAATATATTATCTTTTTTATTCTTACTGTTTGCAGATTTTGAATCAATGTTGAGGAATACCCTCCTTTTTCTAAATGCCCTGGTTGCTTTTTCATTGATTTCCAATTTAGGTAGACATTGGACTGTGTTTGTGTGGGGAAAAACCTGACTTGACTCTGTTTCCTCACACTTTTAGCTGGAGTCCAGGCGCTGGAATCACGCTTCCTGGTACCTGGAGATCTATTAATTTTGACAGGGAACAAATTACAAATGCCATGTGATGCCGTTTTGATTGATGGCAGCTGTGTGGTAGATGAAGGCATGCTGACAGGTATGGTCCTATCTCCTGGCTTAGAGCCTCTGCTAGCTCTCCCAGGTTTTCCTTAATGATAATAGCAAAGCATGGGGTTGCCTGGGGGGCCTTCCTATCCCCCCAAATCTTACTAACAGTCCTGCACCAGATGGATCCAAAAGTTCAAATTAAAGCTATTTTCTGTGGGCCAGGCTTGATACTGTCATACTTTTTGATTGTTTAGCATTTCTTTCTTGAACAAAGGGTTATTACGATTCTGTCATTTTACCTTTAAAGGTTTTAGAGGTCATTAGATACTTCAGAATCATCTGTGACTTTTATGTTTCGCATTTTTACACGAAATACATCTTCAGATAAACTCGGAGGGTTTGACAACCATTAAGGACATCCTGAAATCCCCTCGGTTAAGTCCAAGCTCTTCTTATCTTGGTTTGAAAATGTTGAAAAGTTCATGATGCAGGATTTGGCAAATCTGCTACTTTCAAGATACACACTGGCTGTTTTGGACTGACTGTATTTCATTTTTAAATAGCAGGCTGGAGCTGGGAGGGACGTCATATCTCATAGATATAGAAACCAAGGTTCAGAAAGAAGTGAGTTCTCAAGGTCGCGGAGCTTTGAGTTCTCACTTACAGATGCATTTATGAAGAGATGTTGTGCCAACCGTTCTGTAAGATAAAGAATCATAAAGCCTCTTTCAGAGATGGAATTGGAAGCTGTAAATACATACTGATGTACTCTGGTTCCCATTAAAGTCCAAATCAAATCCACTTCTCCTGGCAGACCAAGAAGGCATGAAACGGAGACAAGAACACATAGCTCTTTCCTATGTGAACTTTTAAAAGAAAAGGTATGACAGGTCGGGTTCCTTTCTCTAAGGAATCCAAAGATTTCATAAAAATCTCTCAGTTCTGGGACTTTTACAGTGCCAACTACCATCTTCCTAATGAATGTGGCCCTAGTATACTGGAATATATCCCTGACTTTTTTTCTGTCCATTCTGCAAAGACCGGTGGAGGGCTTTAATGAGCTTTGTTCTCAGAAGAGGCCATGGTTACTTTCACAACTCATTCACTACCACGATTGTATTAGCAATTCAACCCACTGAAATCTGCCCCTCCCAGTGCGCGGGCAAAAGTCGCTAATATCCCAATTTGCAAACACTATGGAGTCTTTAAATTTCTCATCCTATTGGCCTATCTGCTGCATTTGACCATTCTGACCATCTCTTCCTTCTGAAAATGCTCTTCTCTCTAACTTTCCAAGACAGTGCTGTCTCTCCAAATTCTTCAACCACTGACAGTACTGTTCAGCTTTCTGCACTGCTCCTCTTCCTCCATCTTTTTGATTTTCGTTGCTGTTCAGAGGTCCTGGACCTTTCCTTTCTCACCCTTCACTTGATGCCTAAGTAACCCTTTCTCTTCCCTTTGGCTTTAATTATCATCTCTAAGGTGATGAACTGTAACTAAATATTTCTGGTCAAGGCCTCTCCCCTGAGCTGCAGACCCAAATAAATATCTAACTGCCTACAAAGCATCTCATTCCGCAAGGCATCTCCAGCTCATGGCGACCAAAAGGCAATTCTTCCTTCCTCCTATAATCCCTGTGTTGAAGATTAATGCCACCCTCTGCTCATTCTCCCAAGTCAGAGACCAGGGAGCCATTTAAAATTCCTCTGGACCCATGATCTGCCAATATAAAAATATCCCCAAGTTTTGTAGCTACTCATTCCCTTATTTCTCAAAACCAGGAGTATTTTCTACTCCTGCTGCCAGCTGCCACAGTTCAGAACTCATCCTCTTCAACTGGGACTCCTGTGATCATTTCTCAACTGGATGTCCAGCCTCCAACCTCATCAGACTTCAATTCATTCCCTGGACTGCAGACAGAGTACACCCTCTTGTACATAGATATGATAGCACTCTCCTGAGTCATACAGTTAAATAGCTCCCTGTTTCCCTCCTACCATCGGTGCCGAGAGAAAAACATGTCAGCGCTTAAGTATGTGCACACAGGGCCCTCCACGCTCGGGCTCCTACATAGTTCTCATGGCCTCTTATTCCCCAGACCCCACATTCTAGACTGCACATTGCTACTCCCTAAATGTAGGTTTTTCCCAGCCTGTCTCAGCATCCACATTTGGTTTTACAATACGCATAGTATTTATAATATGACACTATACTTATTTGTTTCCATGTCCGTCTCTCCCTCTGGACTACAGACTTCTTAAAAACAAGTTGTGTTTCTCTTTGTATCCCCAATACCCAGGGTTGTTCCCACCACCTGGCAGGCTCACAAAAAATGTCCGCCGTAAGATTGACTTAGTGTTCGCATGATTTAAGCAAGTGAAGGCATCCCATCTCACAAAATGTGTTGCTTGTTTTCTGTAGGAGAAAGTATTCCGGTCACTAAAACTCCGTTACCTAAGATGGATGGCTCTGTGCCCTGGAAAACACAGAGTGAAGCGGATTACAAACGGCATGTCCTCTTCTGTGGAACAGATGTTATTCAGGCCAAGGCATCTTGCTCTGGGACCGTGAAAGCAGTGGTCCTGCAGACGGGTTAGTTAGCATCTCCTTTGTTTTATTATTTAAATGAAATATTTTTGCTCAGTTTGTCTAGTGCCTTAAATTAATTGGATAAGGAGCAGTCTTTACAGAACAAACTTAATAAATGTAAATATAGATATTTTAAATGGGAATTGAACTATGGCTTATGCCTTTTAGTAAAAATAATAACCCTGATGACAGCAATGATGATGCGCTTTGCAGTTTATATACTATTTCCACATATCAAATTAGTAGAATAAAGATGCCTGTGTCCACTTTGTACACAAATAGACTGGGACCCACACTATTCAAGTGAAGTTTTAAAAAAAATCACATAGCCAGTCTTTGACAGAGCTGGACCTAGAACTTCAAACTTCTAACCCAAAGAGCTAACCCAAGTTCTTTCTAGGCAGGACTAAAAACTGAAAACTTGATGATGAAAAGTATTAGAAATTGAATCCATATGTATTCACTGGGCCATTTAATTTAAATTCAAGTGTCATGTTTGTGTGTGTGTGTGTGTGTGTGCATGCGTGTGCATGTGTGGGCACACGTGTATTTACAAGTCCTTTCCTTATAATGAAGCTGTATTTGGAAAAGCTGTGCTCTGCCCCCATATGGTGCTCTCATCCTATGACTGGGATGCATTGAAATTGGAAGTGGAAGGAGGGAAGGCCAGAGAAGAACAGGCACTGAAAAAGCTAAGATATATCCATTCTAGCTATTTTGCCAATTAGCCTTTAATTGCGTTTGGGCTTAAGCACTATTTAAATTATCTCTGGAGAAAACAAAGGCGATGCTGAAGTTTAGAAGAACTCTAGCAGTAGGATTTGTCATCCTGAGAGTGTTGGGGGTGTGTTTGCTGTTTCAGGATTCAACACTGCGAAGGGGGACCTCGTGAGATCCATTCTCTACCCCAAGCCGATGAATTTTAAGCTCTACAGGGACGCCATCATGTTCCTCCTGTGCCTTGTAGGGACAGCCACCATTGGGATGATCTATACTTTGTGTGTCTTTGTGCTCAGTGGGGTGAGCTGCTTTTGTTCTTGTTCTGCCTGCACATGTACACTCATCTATATTTTATACTCTACATGTAGACTTTCATCTAAGGCATGGTTTTCAAACCTGGGAAAACAAAGCCAAACCTTGAAACCTGCTTGTGTACCCCCAGGTCCCCAATATAAGCAGTTGATCACCAAGTTCCCTGGCAACCATCAGATCTAGTGGGATAAAACACTTTGTTTATTGAGTTACCAACATGCCTCTGCTCTTGTACTTTTCTTTACGCTATTTTTCATTTTCAATCTAAGAATACATTTATACCAACAATGTATTATTTCGTAGCTGTTAGATGAGGACTTTTAAATAAAATCCATATACCCAAGGTTGGTGAGGTCATGGCAAACTGGTACATTATCCTCTGCTGGTAGCAGTATGAATTGTTACAAGCGTTTTTGTTCTACTTTGGCAAAATGTCTGAGAGCCATAGACACATTCATACCCTCTGAACCATCTTTGACCCGCTCATGTCATTTCTAGGAATTTGATCTAAAGAAATAAACAAAAAGAAGGGAAAAAGTCATATGCACAAAAGAGTTCATGACAGATTGATCTGTAATAGCTGAAGAGGGACTTTATCTTCGCAGGAACCCCCTGAGGAGGTGGTGAAGAAAGCCCTGGATGTCATCACCATTGCAGTTCCTCCTGCTCTACCTGCTGCTCTGACCACGGGCATTATCTATGCCCAGCGGAGGCTGAAGAAGAGAGGCATCTTTTGCATTAGCCCCCAGAGGATCAATGTATGTGGACAATTAAACCTTGTCTGCTTTGACAAGGTATGTTGTGTTTCATACTCCTTCTCATTGCCACTTTTAACATCATTGTTGTCACACACAGGTGCATTACATGCTTGTGAGACAGGAAACACTGGATGTGGGCAACTGACTTCATTTTATCTCTGGTTGGATGTGTGATCTAGGACAGATACATCCTTGAGCTCTCAAATTCTAGGGTTTAGGGAAAGGAGAGTAGGTACTGAATCTTTTAGGGTCCTTCCAGCTCTAATATTCTATGAAACACAATTAATTAAAATAGCATTCTGTCCCTCTAGGGTCAAAACCTTCATACAAAGAAGCAAATTTAAACTTTTTTACTGTGGTGACTGCTGCATCCTTAATGCTAAGGCTATTACCTGGCATATAGTCAGTGCTCAATAAATATGTTTTGAATTAATGAATGAATAGAAAAGGAAGAGTTTATTTAGCTGTGGCTTACTAAAAGACTTGGTTAAAATAAACCCCTAGTCAACCCCTTACTATATTTTCCCATCTGCTAAATATATTGCTTAAAATAATCCTTGGTCACATGCCAATTATTCGCAACCAGCCTCTTCCTCTACCTTCTCTTGAGTACATTTTTTTCATCTGTAAACGCATATTGGGAGCTGTGAGGATAAGATGGGAATGAATGGCTGTTCTGTGCCTGGGTCTTAATTTACATAGGTGACTAAGTGGCTGCAGGCAGAGGTCAATGCCATTGAAAGGAAAGTTCAGTGTTACTCTCAGCTCCGCTACAGAGAAGAGGCGTGTCTCACCACGCAGGACCGCAGGAGGAATGCTGGATTGTGACCAGGAAGCAACGCAAGGGTGAGGGGAGCGCTTAGTCTATGGTCTTCCTTGGAATTTCTGCAGGGAAGGCAAGACAAGGCAAGGTAAACAGCCAGCGGTCGGTTAGTTGGAGTGATTTCGGCGGGCTTTGGGCTGGAGGAGTGGTCTCTAGCTGTGTGGCACCTGACCCTGGGATGATTAAGGCAGAGGGATCTTGCCCCCTGGGGAATGTGGCCGCTAGAGGAGGTGTGACTCCCGACTGGTTGGTTAGCATGTCACAGGCAGGCTCATGGTCGAGTCCCTCGCTGTCTCTAAGAACTGACTAGGTCCCAGGAGGCAGTCTCTCTCCAGACTCAGAACGTCTCAGAAAGCTTTCTTGAGTTAAATTTTGGGTGGTGGGCACGCTGTAGGATATATGGAAGTAGAAATATAATGTTGTACATGTGAAACTTATATAATGTTTTTTGTAGCTTATAAAATATCAACCTCTGTTGACTCAATAAAATATAAATTTAAAAAAGAGAAGGACTTCTTAAGGTATCAAACATCGTAATATACAGGAAATTCAAAAATGTATACCATCCAAGGGCATGTAGGCAGGTGAATATGGGCAAAGGCATGGCGTCAGGAGTGTGTTTTTGATCAGAGCAGGATATTCGTAATGGGAGAGGGGTTTTGTAGACCTCCAATGTCTGACTAAGAAATTTCTACATACTTTTTAGGCAGTGGGGAGTCATTGAAGGTGTTTTCTTCTTCTTTTTTTATTGCTGCCTTCCTTTTTCTTAATTTATTTTTTATTGTGGTAAAATATGCATAACATAAAATTTACCGCTTTAACCATTCTTATGTGGCTTTAAGTGCATTCGCGTAGCTGTGCAACTATCACCGCCATCCATCTCCAGGACTTCCCATTTTCCCAAACTGAAGCTCTGGGTCTGTTAAACAGCACATTGAAGGATTTTGATAGTCAAGAGTTAATGGGATTAGAGTTGTGTTTTATAATTACCGGAATATCAGAGAGCTCCCCAAGAACAGAAGGTTAACATGGCTTTTGCCACCACTTCAGTATTATTTTATGATCAAACTAGCATCATGAGGAAAGACATTCTGTTTCTTGGGTCATGTTATCCTTGGACTTGGAAAAAGAAACAGGGGTGGGGAAAATAATTGTGACCTGAATTTGAATGAAAAATAAGTAATAATTATGAGTAATTATCATTGTTATCAGCTCTTACTCTATGCCAGATATTCAATTAGGCATTTTGTATTATCTCATTTAATTGTCCCAATACCCCTATATAATTATGACCATATTATAGATAAGGGCTCCGATGATTAGAGGGATTAAGTAATTTAACCTTGTCCCACTGCTGGTGTTTTAACCCGCTCTAAGCTTTTCATCATTACACCGCACTGAGAGAAATACCAACAAGCGCCTTTTTACCAAATAGGTGTCAAACAGCAAACTATTTCTTTAGAATAGTGAAAAATTCTACTCCCATCACTTATTTCTGAAGATACACTTTTAACTTCTGCTAGAAACGCTTTTAAAGCTCACCCCTTTTATAGCTATTCTAGCAGGCTTACGAAGGACTCTCCCATCCATTCAGTCTTCCATAAAATCCTCTAAACAAGCCTCTGAAATATGGAAAGCAGGTACCATTTTCTTCCTTTATCGCTGAGAAGGCTAACGTTCAAAGAGATTAAGTGCCAGCTTGTCATACAACTGGTATGAGTTCCTCAAAGCTTCCACCCAGGACTCCTGATACCCACCTTATTGTCCTTTCTTAAAGTGCTGGTGTTGATAATCTGATTATGACATTTATTTTCCTGTTAAAATATAATTCATCATTGTCACTAGGGGGCTACTGGCTCTTCAGAGTAAACCGAGTGCTTGTTTCTGTATAGACAGGCACCTTGACAAGGGATGGCTTGGATCTCTGGGGAGTCGTGCCCTGTGATGGGAATGGGTGAGTATTTGGGACTGAATGCACTGTAGTTTCTTTTTTCCCAGAACTCTACATTTTTTTCCCCACAGAATGTTAATGATGCGGAGATTTTGGCATTGGCTTTGGTGAGCAGTGGTTGCTAGAGTAGCTTCCTTTAATTTCTCTTCTTGATTACTTCCAAAGCTCGCTAAAACATGCGTATTTCCCGCACCCCAGCCCCAGGACACACACAAAACCCAGGAGATGAAGGGCAAGTTTCAACACTGCATTCCAGTCCTCACTAAAATGTGATTTGCTTTCAGCATGTTAGTCAGGGGCCAGGGTGCGTCCTTTGGACAATAAGAGGACACTGTCCTTCAAGGAAGTAACGTGCTCACACAAACGGAAGCCTTTGCATGTGCTAGGAGGGAGAACACTGCCCTGACTTAGAGACACTGAATTTCAGGAAGAGAAACACCTGGACCACACCTAGTGTACTTCATTTTCCCTCATATTCTAGTTCTGGGAGCTCCACCTTCTGGCTGCCAGAAACTCCTCTTTTCCGTCCAGAAAAGACTCAGTTTAGGCAGCTTTCAGCCAGGGTAGTAAACTGTTGCATGTCCCTCTCCTGGGGCCCTCTTGTCTGAGTTTACTTTTCAGCCTGCTTTTTCTCCCCACTACAACTTCCTGCCTGATCAGAACACGAAGCATTTGACATTCAGGTTCTGTTTTGCTTTTTAATTAAGGTACAGTTCATTTCAGGCTTTGTTCTTTTAATGAATGCATTTCCTTCTCACACTCGCAACCGAAATCACAAAGCCTCTTCTACATAAAAGGTACCTTTCCTGTGTTATGCTGCTGACATACAATTTATCCATGAAATGTGTTAATTATATACTTTTAATACGTTTTCATATTAAAATGCTATTTCTAAACAAGTCTACTTCCTGGATTAAAAAAAATTAACCCTGGTGCTTCTAACCATTTTCATCTACAGAAGAAGCCTATTGCAAGTGTTAAACTTTCTAAAGTGCTTTTCATTTTCTCTCGAAGATCGATTTGGATATATACCTGGTCTCCTTGTTCATTTTTTTTTCCTGTTCCAGCTTCTACAAAAATTGTATGCATTTATTCAAATTTGTGAGCAGCTTGAGAGCAGTTTTTTCTTATTTATATTTGCATCTCTCATGTCATAGCACTATAACAAACACACACAGTAGACGCACAATAAGTGTTTATCTAAAATGAGCAAAATATGTTCCATCTTGCAAATATTCATCTACTGAATGACAGTAGAATTGACATCATATTATTCACAAAACTTTTAAAACTTACTATTTCTAAAAGTGACTCGTCAAATTTAAATAAAAACAATTGATATTATGTTTAGATTATTGATAGACTGATTCAGCCTGTCACTGTCTTTCCCTCTCTCTCTCCCCTTCTTCCTTCAAAAATGAAGATGGCTTCAAATGACTTAAAGATCAATTAAAATATTTATTACTTGACAAATTGAATTAATAGAATTAGAGAAAACAGATTCAATTCTATATAAGAAGTCCGTACCTGACTTAGAGGCTATTAATGTCTTCTGGTAAAAGATGGGCTCATCTCTAATAATTTTCATCTTTTCCAGAGAGGGTCTGCCCAACGTACCAGGTACTTTAAGACCCACTGGAAGGCTACCTGAGCGACTTGGTCTTGATAAGTCACAAACGTTCGAATAAAAGTACAAAGACAGGGATGTCGGGGAGTTCTATTTGTTGTGGAAACCAGAGTTTCCGCCCAGTCCGCCGGAACTCAGAACTATGTAGTCAGAACTACATACTGAAGACAGTTTGTGGGCTAAAATCAGATTCTTTTTTTCTGATCTGTGTTTGCTTCACAGAGTGAGCCTGAGGATCTGTGTTAATCACTGACGGTGATTGCTTCTTTTAGATGTTTATGAAAATGCCAGGTACTCATCGTAAACCACTGAGATATCTTTATCTTTCAATATATAATTATAGGTACGATCAACAGGGTCAGAAATCAGTCAAGAGCTTTTTGAACTCTTAAGGAAGCTTGAGTGAGGAAGGCAGCAAGAAGTATGCCTGGGTTAACACTCTGATGTGTTTGTTTCAGGCACAAAGGGCCAGAGTAACCTAAGGAAATGATTATATCCATGTCATGAGATATGATAGTCTGATCCTGGGGACCATGTTTTAAGAAGAACTATGACAAAAAGTAAAAAATAAAAACTTTTCCAAGAAAGACTATCTAGGAAGATCAGAAGTCCAGAACCTGCATGTTGGAGGCGTAGCTAGAGGTTCCTGTGTAACCTCAGATGAAGGGAGTATAAAAGGGGAAGCTGGTCAGGCTGGTCCACGAATCTGAAAGGAGTTGACATGTGGAGGAGGAGGCACAGGTAGATTCTGACTGGCTCCAAGAAGCAGACTCTGCCCCAATCCAGGAAGCACCTTCTGCCACTGAGGGTCCCCCAAACAGGATGGACTGTTTGGTGAACCACTTACTGCGCTACATGTTAAAGAAGGGACTGAGCAATAAGGTGCAGAGGGCATCCTCTAGTAGGCTCAGGCCAAACTGGATAACATCAACTCTGAATTAGTGAAAGAACCCTGTATATAACATCTGAGTTGTGTCTCAGCAGGTTTTAGATGAGGTCATTCTCTGTAGGAAGCAGTGGTGATGATGGCTGCAATACAGACACCAGATGCTGGGGTGGAAAAGGGAAATACAGTGCCTTTTCAAAAATGTTTTTTTAAAAATTTCATTTCTTTGCCATTAGGATCTTTCTGACTTACAATAACCACTCATTCATTTATTCAGCCACATAGTTGTTGATTGTTTACTGTGGACCAAACATCGGATATGTTGGAGAGAGGGATGTGGAGGAGATGGCCTTGCCCTGAAGGATGCACTGAGGGAGATACACAGACACGCCAGTAGCTGTAGTACGAGCTCACCTGTTCTGTCTCACAGCACAGGAAGTGAAGTGGTCTGGAAGTGCGGGTGGGAGTGGATGCCCTTAGAACTGAGGGTGATACTTCTAGCTCTTTCTATATCCCTGGATTTAAATTGGTGCCAGAGAGAAGGTAAGGAGAAGAGGGAAGAAAGAGCTTGAAAGAACCTCAGGATATTTCTCATACTCATTGAACTTACGTGAGGATGATGGCTGCAGGAAGCACTATCATTCATTGCAGGGGATTAGACAGTGGGGTTGCAACGCAGCAAAGCACATTAACTTACTTTTTAAAAAGACAGTCCCCTCCAGAAGCTCCATTTTGGCCTGGAGGGGTGGGACTAAAGCCCTTTCCCTCTGCTCCTTTAGCTTCCAGGAAGTCCACAGCTTTGCCTCGGGCAGGGCTTTGCCATGGGGCCCCCTGTGTGCGGCCATGGCCAGCTGCCACTCCCTGATCCTCCTGGACGGGACCATCCAGGGAGACCCACTGGACCTCAAGATGTTTGAAGCCACCTCCTGGGTAAGCCTGTGCTCTGCAGAGAATCTAAGGAGTTTCTTCGATGCCAGACCAACATGGGTTGTATCATAGCTATCCAGTACTTATAAAAACGTGAGGTCTCCAATATGGAGTGCAAGCGGCAGTGAGAGAACTCACCTAAGCCTGGTTTTCTCCTCGGTACAAGTTCTTCCATATTTGGGTTCCTGTGAGGAAAGGGGAACAATGCATTTTAAAAATCCCTGGTACTGAGCTTGGCACATATTACAGGCTGGATAGCATTAGTATAATTATTGTATAATTAATTCTAAACCTTTCTAATTGTAGTATGAGCAATGTCTGGTTTCAAAGTTTTCTAGAACATGAATATTAGGAAACAGAACTGTCCCCGGTGCTTAGGATAACTCATTGGTACCAGGAGTTTTATTACTATTACTTTAGTATTGATTTTTGTCTCAAAGACTAGAAACAATAAAAAGGAAAGCCATGAGCGCTTTTGTTGAGACTCTGAAGTAGATTTCAGAACAAATGGTCTCGTTCATGATGAGGAATCTGGCCCTCCTGGTTCTAGTCTTGGCTCTGCTCTGACTCCTTTACTCAGTGAAATCATCTCTGCTGTCGGGGCTTTGGCTTCCGTGACCTTAAAGTGAGAGGACTGAATTAGACTAGCACTGTTTACAGAAAACAAAATGAAACAAAAAACCTGGAATCTTTTTTTTAAAAGGAAACCTTATTTAAAAGCACCCTACAGAAAAAAAATAAAAGACACAAAAGAACTTATTTACAAAACAGAAACAGACTCACAGACATAGAAAACAAACTTATGGTTACCAGGGGGAAAAAGGGGTGGGAAGGGATAAATTGGGAGATGGAGATTTGCAGATACTAACTACTATATATAAATTAGATAAACAACAAGTTCCTTCTGGATAGCCCAGGGAACCATATTCAATATCTTAGAGTAACCTATAGTGAAAAAGAACATGAAAACAAATGTATGTATGTATATGATGAGCTGAAACATACCTTGCACCAGAAATTGACATAACATTGTAAAATGACTGTACTTCAATAAGAAAATAAAAGATTAAAAAAAACCTAAAAAAAACCAAATAATTGGAGTTGCTCTGACTAAGATTAAAGATGGGGAGTAAAAGCACAGCTTAGGGAACACACACTCCCACCTGCTTATTACAAGCCCACCTCCTGGGGCCCCGTAGCCTGGTGCAGCTCTAGGTCCCTGCGATATATGTGTATCCAGTCCACCGAAGGAGACATCTTCCGGGTTCCTTCCAGCTGTTGTAGGGCATGGTTCTGCAGCAGTCTGATTGAACTTTCTCCATCCTTTCTGGGTTACCTTTTCTGTGTCTTTAAGTAGGGATCATAATTTCCTCTCTGAGATTTTTTTTTTCCACTCAACGAGATGATTATAAAACATTTTGGCATCTTTGGGTAAAAGGTTCCTTTGACTATAATTTAGGGTCGTTATTATAGCAATTACCGTGTGTTTACTGAACATTAACCACGTACATCACAGTCCCTGTCCTACTGTACCCTGAGGACCGTCAATTCAAATTAGACAGAGAAGGAAGAGCAGAAGCAGCCTTGAACATCAGGAGAAGAAAGACAGTAAGGTGCTTGCCTCACACACAGTAAGTCTGGCTATTCATGCTCACTGTTTTCAAGTTAAGCCCTTCAGAAATGGAGAATGAGCCTCTGTTCAGCACAATCTAGCAGAGAAAGCAGGATAAATTGTACGAATAATTCAGAAGTGTCTGCCCTTCAAGTTTCGCAGCATTTCCGATGCATTATTTTTGTGTGTGTGGTGAACTAAGTCTGGTTCACCTCCATGTAGCAGAGGGAGGGGAATACACTGTGCCGGTCTGAGGATTTTCTCCAGGGGAGGGGTTGAGCACTGTATTAGTGGATGAACAAGAAATAAATCTCTACAGTGACCTATCCTGTTTGAAATAGGAAATGGCGATTTCCGGGGACAATTTCCACATCAAGGGATTGCCGGCATATGCCATGGTCGTTAAGCCCTGCAAGACAGTCAGCCAGGTAAGCCCTGCCTGCACGCTACCCCAGAACGCCCAGCTCAGAAGGGGAGTCCCGACAGGCCCACAATTTTGAAAGCTTGGAGGTATGTTTTCTTTGACTTCCACACATGAAAATTAGTGAGATCTTGTTTCCCTTATTTGTAAAATAAGGATTGGGGGAGGAGTAATTAATTCCTCAAAGCTAGAGGCCATGTGGTGTGTCCCTCTCCATTCCCCATCCCTCCACCAGGTCCCAGTGGAAGGAATTGCAATCCTGCATCAGTTCCCATTCTCATCAGCGCTGCAGAGGATGACAGTCATTGTCCAAGAGATGGGGGGTGACCGGCTGGCATTCATGAAAGGCGCACCAGAGAGGGTGGCCAGCTTTTGCCAACCAGAGACAAGTAAGTGAACAGACTTACATTACAACTGGAAAATCTGTATTTCCACCCCAAATATGTCCTCTCAGCACCTGATCGATGAATCCAAATGCTCACTGACCATCACCAATGGGATGACTCATTGACATCCCAAACTCAACAGTAAAATCAAGCTTATGTTTCTCACTTTCTATATTTCCCATCTAAGTGAATGATAGTACCACTCCTCAACCCCAATATAGGATTCTTCCCAGATTCCTCCCCATCCCTGTCTTGTCAATTGCTCATCCATGGCCCTGTGACTCCATCGGCTCAGGCCCCCATCTCATCCCTCCACTGGATCCCTTCAATAGTTGGTGAATTGGCTCTCTACCCCCAGTATCCCCTATTCTGATTCACCCTTCATACTGTGACCAGATTGGTTTTCCCAACACATAGTATAACTCTATTGTCACTTTCCTGCTTTCATTCTCTGGTTGTTTCCCATAGGCTCCAGGTAATCTCAAACTCCTTTAGTATTATACATAAGGCACTCATGATCTGAATCCTATTAAACTTTCCAAATTTTCTTTACCACTCCTGTGTTCCCTGTGAGCTGAACTAACTACTCAAGTCTTGCTGTTTCATGTCCCCGTGCCTGAGCACGGGATGCTCCCTCAGCCAGAATGCCCTTTCCCTTCTCCAACCTAACCACCTCCTCCCAGTCTGGTAGATGCACCAAGGGCTTCTATAGCATGCTGCAAATTGCCTGAATCGTAGCAGTCATCTCATTCCCTTGTGTTGTTAGTCTACTGGCTGTCACCCTACTAGACAGAGGTGCTCTGAGCGGAGCCTGCAGTTCAGTCTCTGCATAGCTAATTCCTGACACATGGTAGATTCTAAATCAATGTTTGTTGGTAAAAATCTTTGGGTTATACACTTTTTTTATTTTTATTTTTTGAACGCTTCCTTTTTGTTTCCACTTCACTGGCTCCCAAGAGGTCAACTGTGACAACACAGTTCTACTGAGGGTTCCCACTGACTTGTTTGTGTACCTTCCTAGAGGTGTGTATTCTTGGGCAAGAGTTGGATCTGTTTATAAAGAATTTCACCACCAGTGCCAACTGAGCTCATATTGCATATTAATCTTGTGCTATTTTCTGAACAGTACCAACTAGTTTTGTTAGTGAACTTCAGATTTACACGACACAGGGCTTCCGGGTCATAGGACTCGCCTACAAAAAGCTGGAAATGGACCACCATACCACTGCCTTGATGAGGTAAATGGGATGGGGAGAATTTTAATGAAGCAGAATGGTTTCATGGGAAGATGTACCAGACTGGGCAGTAGACTTAGTAACATAGCTTGTGGAATTTGAGTGCATGAAATGTTTCTGAACTTAGTAAATGGGGATATTAGTACCCCTGCTTTGCCTAAATCACAAAGCTGATGTGAACACTCACTGGGAGAATTGATGATAAATAGCTGTGTACATTGTAAAACATGATGTGATTGTATAGCTTTGTGAAAACATATAGGAATATAACCCATGTTTCAGAGAGCTTGAATTTGTGGTTGTGTCTTTCTTTTGAACCAAATGTAAGTATTTGACTTTTAATTATTTGGGGTGTTTTATTTTATTTTTTGCTATATTGTTATTTTATTATCTTGATTTTTTATTATAGTTGGTGAATTAGTTGAAAATCAGAAAACATAACACTTATCTGAAAAAAAATCTTGAGAAATACAAAACTAAATGAAACAAATAAATATAGCTTGGACTCAACACATAATCTAGATAACATTTGTAGAGAAACAAGAAAAGCTTCAGAGTGGCCGTTCTAAAGATAGTTTTAATATGTATAGATTAAAATAGGAATGCTCAAAAGCTAAAAGGGACTAGATTAATTAATTAGTTGAAATTTATTGTTGTTTTATTTTCCACGGTTTTCAGGCCATGATGTTTATTTCATTTTCAGTGTCATGTCCAATACTCTATGTATATCAGCCACTATTTATCACACTGCGACTTATTTTGTTATTTAGGATTTTAAATTTGGGAGATCTACTATATTTGTGTTCAACACTGTCAGATTCAACACTCACTTATTGTAACTATGTTTTGTACCACTTCCTTTAATATACTAAAATTCATATGTAACATGATCTGTACATATTCTCTGTAAAAAAGAAATATAATGCCCTCCTATATGGTGAAAATTGAAGCAAAAACTACAATGCATTACAAAAAGTAATAGATAGTTCAATAAATACTCAGCTGACTCCACGAAAACAAAGTGAAGCAGTACGTTGGTTGCACCTGCGTGTAGAATTATTGGGGCTGCAACAGCTAGGAATGCAGACTGATACAGGTATGTTATACATCTGAGTCTCAAATACCATCAGCCATCTTACTGTCAGTGAGGTGACTCTGTGAAATGGCTAAAAACTGTTGGTAATACTGAATAAAACAATATAACTTGCCCTCAATTTACATGGTAGTTACATTCTTGGAAAACTCAATAGAATATTAAAAATGGGCAAAAATACTTTGTGTTTATATGTAAAACTGATCAAGAGGAAGTATAAACAGTTTTATTTATGCTTAATATAATACTACTATATATATACACACACTATAATAATACAGTATACTGTATAGTAAAATCATAGTGTAAAATAAACAGTGTAAGCCTGTACTGGCTCAGGAAAGTATAAATGATTTGTTAGTGTCCATGAATGTCCTGGAGAATATTTAAAAGGCATATAGGAGCTAGGGTAACTCTTCATTGGGCACTGGTCATTTCTGAAAATCTTGCATAGATGTCTAACATTGTTTCCAAAATGTCCTCTAGAGGCAGTATTGCCCCGGCTGAAATCACTGATGTGTCCCAACCCTGTCACTTTGTGAGCAGTTTGAGGCTCAAAGGTGGAAGTGGCTCATCCAAAAGTCATGACTACGGGATCCCTGTCCACATTAATGTGACCTTTTAAAATTTTGGCTATTATAGTTCTGGATATTTGTCATAATTTAATCAGCCCAGGTCACTCAAGTCAGAGAGCTAGAAGTGAGCTTTGAGATTGGATCTCCCATTTTAAAGAAGAGGAAACTTGGGTCCAGGATGTAGCAGAATTGGGAATGGAATTCTTTTTCCTGAGAGCCTGTTGACACATATGTCAGGATTCTGGCTACTATGCTGCTGCTTCTGATTATTATAGTAAAATATTTCCCTATCTGTAAGTTTCAAACCTATGACTTTGGGGCTGGCATATGTAACAAAGCCTGTGAGCACATGGAGGCCCACGAGCAATGGGGCATGGCGAGGGCTGTGGCACACAGGAGAGACATGCCCTGGCCCACAGCATTGAAATTCCACCTTTTCAAAATCTGGTCAGGTTTGTACACAACTTGACTAGCAGGATCTGACCTTAGGTCATCAGTCTGCCCATCCTGTGTTAAAGCCACAGTACCAACACACCTACTCCTCGCTAAGTTAATGTACCTAAACTTTGTTAATCCCTGATTAGAGCAGAACATTCTTTCTGACGTGTGTGTGTGTGTGTGTGTGTGTGTTTGTGTGTGTCTGTTTACTCAAAGTGCTTCCAGCGCTGATATTATAATACTCATGAAAAGAAGAACCATGTAATGTTAGAGCTAGAACAGACTTTGCAGATTCGTTAGTTTCACCACCTTCTTTTACAAAACAAGAAAGAGATTACCAGATAAAGAAAGTGATTTACTCATGGTCACACTGTGAGGTAGTTGCAGAGCTGAGATTAGAATGCTGATCTCCTAATTACAGTGTGTTCAACCCTGTGACAGCTTTGTGCCCGAGGAACAGAAATACGAGTGTCAAAAGGGGCTGCACACATTGTCAGATGCTTGACTCTGGAGCCATTTTCTTGGCCTGATCTGGTGCCTTGAGGTTGCACCATTCTTATCTCTGAAAATGTCTAAAACCTGAGGCCTGTGTATGAGAGCCACCAGAAAGACTGGAGGACCTTCATCAGGCATCAGCTAGGATATCCTTTAAAGACCGGCTCAAATATCACCTCCTCCAGGAAGGCTTCTCCAGTTACTCCACCTAAAAATGATTACACCTTCCTCTCCGACTCTGTAGGACTCTTGCATGTACATGAGCACGATACTCCTCCCAGCCTTCCATATAGCCAAGATGGTCATGCGTCATCTTGCCATCCCCATTGCATATGAAATCTCTGGAGTCAGGAGTTACTATAGTCCTTGCCTATTCTCTTCCCCACTTCCCAAGCCCTGTTCCTTGCACTTACTTAGGTTTTCAGTAAATGGTCATTGATTTAACAGACTGGCTGACTTCAGTTCCCATGAGGAACCTCTGGCAGTAGAATTTCTGAAAGAGGAAATGAATTTTCCTAGGTAGTTTGGCAAAAAAAAAAAAAAAAAAAAAAAGTCACACCAGGCAGCAGAGCACTTCAAATAGGCAGATATTTGCC